TTTTTTTCTTTCTCCCCCCTGCCCCCGTATGAAGCAGAACATGCTATAACAAGATAATCTGAGCAGATTATGACTTGATATGAGTTTTCCTGGGTTTGTTGCATTGCTACGTGATTGTTTAAGAACATAAAGCTCAAAAACATTTTGCTGTGGTCATGAATGAGTTGGGTTTTTCCCATAAGAATGTCTGTGTACTCTGTGGGGTGCCAGAAGATTTTTGATAGCAGATATCTAGTTAAAAGGCTGAAAGATGATGTGATATTGTGCAAAGGAAGAAAGCAGGAGAGGGAGAAGACATTGCCAATATGCTAGGTTCCTACAGGCTGGCTGTTAAATAAAGCTCCCAACACTCACTTAAGTGAACTGTGCTAAAAAAAGAAATAAATCCATGAACTGAAACCATGCTCTGCTTTTTCACATTCTAGTGTTTGATGAAACCTAAAATAGCAATGCTCTGGTGGTAAACAAGTGAGTCATGTCATCTGTTTGGTATTCCAGATTGGACAGTGAGATACAGGGCAATTCTATATGACACAAATTAGAAGTGGGTAAATTCTGGTCATTAGCATTTACTGTTAAATCCTGCACTTATTCTGCATGTACCTTGTTAAAACACTATTAAAATTAGGCCTCCTCTATCCACTTGTGGGGAGAGCTTTATTTTCTTAGTCTTTATGCTATTATTAGAATGGAGTATATACAGATGTAAAACTTGGTTTGTGCTAATGGTCACTACTTCATTTTTCAACCTTTTTATTTCAGATAACTTTCAAAGTTTTTATTGATACTAATGTTAAACGTTCAGCACTTCTGTGAAATTCATTTAACTTATTTTGTTTTAAATAATTAATGAATTAAAACAGTACTGTTTCTGGAATAATGGGTGAAATTGAGCATTTCAGCTGTACATACCATGAGTTAGTGTTCCTTTGTCTTTTGGATAGACCCTGATCATAATAGTCTATACTAAATCCATTCACTGTGGTGACTGTTAACAGCATTTTTTCTTGTTCATACATTCAACTACTGTAGTCAGTACCCTTGCTAAGATAAAGCAAATATTCCAGCAGGAGCCAAAATTACCTGGAGGACAGTTTGAGTTATCAAGTATTGTTAGAGAATTCACCAGCTTACTGAAAACAGAATGCCTAAGAGCACAGAAGAAATGCTGATTTGACTGGTTAGAAACCAAGGATTTGTGAGCAAAGAAAGTCTCATAAATTTTCATTCTGAGATACAGTGCTGTGAAGTGTATTTGAAGAAAGCTTTTAATTACATTTGGTATTTCTGAGCTTGGTATTCTCGACAACCATCTTGCAGAAAAGAGATGTTATTTGGGACTTAGGCAGAACGAGGGCCCAGGATAAATGACTGTAAACCAGTCATGTCCTGCTTTAATGTTATTTAGCAATTGGCAGAAGATTCAGTGTCTAGAAGCTAACTGTAATTGTATTTGGGGTATTTTAATACAGCATTTACATCACTGCACAGCAAATAGGTGGGCAAGTAGAGTAGATTGCAGACTGTTGGTTACATTTCACTGTGGCTTTTCATTATTTAAAGAGAAAATCACAATCGGCTTCACTTTCTGTATGCAGTGAGTACATATATATTTTAATAGGTTGTCCAATGTCTGAAGGCATCTTGACATGCAACAAAATCCCTGAATACATACACTAAAAGAAATAAATATCAGTATAATTCTTTTACTTCAAAGCTTGTGATTGTTATTACCTTAAGGTTTAGATGCACTACTAATCTTTATTTAAATTATTTCTAAAGCCAGACATTGTGTTGTGAAAGAAATCAAAACTAATTCTATGTTTGCCATGTGACAGTAGTCAAAGTATACCTTAAGTATACTCCCTTTCTCTTTCTTTTGTCTTGAAGGCTACAGTTGAGCCCTGATTGATTGGTAAGGGATGTTGTTATCTGCTGCAATATTTCTCTAATGGAAGCATAGATATTCTTTCCAATATGCAAGAAAAATTTGAAAACATCTCTGAAAACTGTGAACTCTTACAGGAGGCTAGTTAATTCATTGTCTTCAGTGATGACTTGTGACATTCAAGCATTTAATAGTCTAGTAATACTTACTTGTGAGTTGAATAATAGATTGTAATTTCATAGCAGCATTAAACTCTGCCTATCTGATGATTTAAAATAGCTTGAGTCCTATATATTTTGACATTTTCCTATGGCCAGGCCCTTTGTATTGCCTTTGTATTTGAATATGTAGGTAGACAAGAAAATGGTATATCAGGTTTAAGATTGTGTTAATCACAGGGACTGTGAGTTTGTAAGTTCTTTAAACAGTTAGGAATTTATTAGGTAGATGGAATGAAAGTTGTGTACAGTTAGAGCTTTGTAACTGTTCACAGACATCAGTTAGGAAGTTTAAATATTTGCATGTATATTTCTGTCCTCATTTTTGGAAGCATGCTCACAAATATACATCCAGTTTACAGCCACAGTAACAGTGGAAATATAAAGCAATCCTGGAAATCATATTTATTATTACTGTTAGTGCTATCACCAGCAATAAAATCCTCAGCTGATCTCCTGTTTCTGTGCCAAAATCTAACCATTCCTACACATATTTCCCCACTTACAAAAATTAAAAATAAAGTGCACACTTTTTGTATTGTGCACCATATTTAAATGCATCTGTTTAATTATGTGGTACATTTAGCATCATTGCTGCTAAGTGCTATATAACCTAGATAGAGTAAAAGCATGAGAGTGTATGTTTTCTAAAACTATCTTTATTTCAATTAAAATTTTAGGGCTACAACTTGCAGCATGTTGGGGAATAAAATTCCACCTAAATTCAGTGGAAACAGGGCACGTAACTCACCTTTGAAAATCCCTACTTGGTTTTATTGGACCTTGCCCTCTTCTGCTATTTTTATCAAACTTCTTGGTTCAGAAAAGTTTAAATGGAGAGACCTGTAGTCTTTGACATATATCTTAACTAAAAGAAATGGATATTGGCCTTGCTATAGCTGTAGCAACATCTTTTACTCTTAGAACAAGCCATCTGCTTAGCTCTGAAGGTGCAGATTTTGTATTCAAGATCTTGCGGCAAGTCAGATTTTGTGAGTGGTGTCATGATGGAGTTGTTTCACAGAACTGTCCTGAGACCACTGATGCATTTACCTCTCAAATCTTCCGCTGTTCATAGGAGCTTGAGCAGAATCATAATCTGTACTTTGTATCCCATATTGATATCCTCAGTTACTCTGTTTCATAACTTTTGGTATTTGTGCACATGCATACACAAAACTATGTGCATGCCCGCATCTCCTTTGAGCTGTTCACAGTGTTATTGCAGGGGCAGCCCTGCCTGTTTCCATTTCCCTGCCAGCTGTTTCTCAGCTTTGACTGAGTGGCATTAATTCATTGTGCTCTTCTTCAGGTCTTTCTAACTGTTCCTGCTACAAGCAACAATTCATGTGTAAATGTACACATATAATATGGCAGTCTGTATAGGTAATAAATATAGCAAATGCATACATAGTAAATGTAAATAATTTGTACAATTAAATATAATGCACTGGCAGTTACGGGTCGTTGTCTTGGACCTGTGATTTTGGCATACTCCAGTATCATAGTGGTTTTCCCAACTCTTTAACTCCTGTTGGAATAGAAATGAGCTTTATTTTTGCAAAGAACGAATATCTAATTTCTGTGCAAGGTAATTTCAAGCTTCCTTTGCAATTAAACAATTCATCTACTAATCTCTCCTGCCAAACCCATATCAGTGAAGGCAAGGAGAAAATGTATGGAATATATACAGAGTATTTTCTTTTATGTTTATGGATCAGAGTATCTTAGGGTGTCCCATGGCAATGTGTAGAATGTGCTTAGGGAATAACAGGTTATCAGTATGTTTGCAGTTAATTTTTAAATTGATTCCTTTTCCTTCCTGCTGTCATGTACAGGGGACACTTGGGGACAGGCTGCAGACATGATTGAATAGAGCCTAGAACTTTGCTAGCACAATTTCTTCCAGAAGCTCTCTAAATGCATGTATTTGCAAGGCAAGGGTAGTTCTCCTTCTGTGTGTGTCCTTCTAGCATGTACATTATCCGCATGTTGGGCTCCAGACATAATGTAGATGTTAGAAAATCGGTATTGCAATACATTTTCATGTAGATTTTTAAACCCACAGCAAGAGTATTGTTTTCTAATCACTTGTAATTTGAATGTGTACTTCCACAACACCACCCCTTGTTCTTAAAGTGAGCTTGATGTCTGAGATTTATAATGCCAGAATCCAGATTCTATCTAAAGGAACTGAAGAAAGGTAATGCTGAAGGGTGCCCATGGTTTTGTAACATCAGCTGGCAGCAAAAAGACCTCAAAAGTACATGTTCTCCACCACAGGGCATACTACCAAAAGTTTCCAACTGGGATACAGTAGGCATGTGCATATCTGAAAATTAATTCTATGTGTATTCAACATACCCTGATGAGCAATTAATAGGAGGAGACTAATCTCCTACGTTTTCTGTTTACATATAGCAAAGCAAAAGAGGCTTTCCTAAAAATGCAGAAAGAGCGTGACTTCCATCGAATGCATCATAAGCGAGTGGTTCAGGAGAAAAACAGGCTTATTTGTGACATTAAAAGGTAAAAAAATGGTTTTCATTACCATACATGTAACACTAAAGATAACATCTTCAATTGTTTCCTGGTAATGAGAGAACATTGTGGAATTCAAGAGTGCTGAAGTAAAGCTAGCTGCATTTAGTTAGTGTCCTGGTATATAGCAGTTCCATCTGACCATTCTGCCATGTCTCTTAAACAATTTCTAATGATTTCTTTTATATTGTCCATGGTGTGATGTGGCATTAATAAATACATAATATTTCTAATAGTTGAAAACACGAATGAGATTTTTTTCTTTTACCCAGATCTTTTTCCATAAATATGTAGTGATTTCTGGGTTTAGATCCTTTGTCCATTTTAAGGGTAACTGGTGTCACACTGAGTTCAGAACATTTGCATTCATGATTCCCATAGCTGATATCTTCTGTCCCTTTACATCTTGAACTTCCTGTATGTAGTTTGGTATGTTGCTTTGGTTGCAAATAAGTCCAAACTAGTCCATTGGTACTGAGTTGTAATAGTTTATTTTATAATATTATAAGTCCGTAATTTTGTCATTCTGGAATTCTGCAAGTTTTCTATTAAATGTTGTGCTTCTTTCCTTCCACGAGCAGAAGTTTTGCATTGTCCATCTGAAGATCACTGAGCCAAGTGAAAGAGCTGAGTTTAGAATCTCTTCTTTGCACATGTTTATGCCAGCACTTGTTTTAAAGTAACATTGGGGAGTGGCTAACATCTGCAGCTCTGAACAAGTCGCAGAATTTTGGCTTGTCAATATTGTTATCAATAAATGCATATAATAGCAATGACATGTTCTACATCTTTAACCTTGAAATCCATACATGCTAATGCAAGAGCACTATTCACTGACTTATCCTCTGTCAGCTTTTTGCAAAATGCAAGTATTTTTGAAGCTTAGTCTCCTGTGTTTCTCTTGAGAGATTATATACCTAACTTTTAGTTGTTCTGAAGAATTAAAGTGGTTAAGTATTCTAAATGTAATGTGCAGTGAAGAAAGAAATAGTAATCATATTACGACTGTTCTGTCTAGATTAGGATCTTAGTTGGTAGTTGGAGAATAGCTGTAATTCTCTTTCTTCCAATGAAATATCATCCATCTGCAAGAAAACACAAATTAACAAAAATTAATGTGCCATATGTGTATGAAGGATTAAGAACAGGTCAAAATGAATGTATTGTTTTAAAAGATATGGCTAAACAAACTATGAAACCTTTTACTGATCTGACTTTTTTTTTTCTCGTGGTATTCCAGTTGGGTGGTTACATACTAAATAGCTTTGTGTCCTCTCTATTGACCGTTTGGCACTTTTTTTCTTTTATTTGGGGAGGAAAAAAGTTACACAGACATAAATCTCTGAATTAACTCATCTTTGAGGAATCATTTGTCCTCCTCTTGTTCGCAGGCTGAAGGCACATTATGCATCATATGAACCGGTGCTGAAGCAGTTGACTGAAAAATACCAGACTACACTGAGACAGAAAATGTTAACTAGTTTGGAGAGAGACAGAGCAGTTGGGCAGGTAAAACTATGGTGAACACCACTTGCAAAGCTGTAAGGAATACTTCTGGTTTTTACTTTGGTAAATACACAGGCTATTTCTGTTAAAGCAACTCACCTATGCAATAGTTTGAAGCACAATATTTTAGTAAGTTTCATGTTATTTAGTGAAATGTTGATATTGAAAGTATATGAAACTTAGTGCCATGAAGTAGTAGTTTTCAGTCTGTACTTGCTCAGGGCTGCTCCACATAAGTCAGCAATGTGCACATGCTGTTATACTCTCAGCGTCAACAACCTGAGGAAAGGTGTGATATTCCCATGGATTCATATGCCTCCATCTGTGCCTTTAGAAATCTCTTAACTTTCTTTATTACTATTTACTATTTCATTTTTTCCTAAATATATACAGGAATAACCTAATAGTTTAGGAAAAAATTTATTAAGATATCGGACACAGTATTTCTGTCTTGTGAGTGGAATAATAGAGTAGTATTTTACTCCTGTAATCTTACCTGATGTATAGGTTGGTATACATGATATTCTGCCCCTTTAGCAGGAACTATTATCAGCACAGATAGGATGAAGAACAGAAAATTATCTTGCGGGCGTTTAACCAATAGGTTGTTTGCTCAAAAAAGAGGAGGGGGGGTGGGGGGGAGAAAAAGGACCTCCCAAAATGCATTGCATTTCAGCAGTAGCATCAATTATATGTGGGTAACATGGAAGGAATTTACCATGCTTGCACTCTCTTCTAGTAGTCCTGATCTCTCATTTCCTCCATTCCTCTGCCTCCAATTTTTCTCAGGTCACCTGAGGGCTTTTAAAAGACTGAGGATTATATGTTTGAAACTTCAATAAGTAAAAGAAAATGTCCGAAAGAAAAAAAAAAAAAGGTTACTGTCCATATACAGTTATGCTGAATCAGGAGTACAATGCATAGAACAATTCCAATGCTATGAAATTTCAGGAACGTACGTAAGACCTATCTGGTTATGAACCATAAGCATTCTGGAGTGATGGCTTTTTTGTAACACACAACACCATTTTTTGTGGCATTTTCGTATGACAAAGCTGTATGTCGTATTGTGCCATTAAGTTAAAGATCAATGCAGTGATAGCAGTGGTTAAAAGTTGATGGTGCAGTAAGATGCCTAGTATTCTATATATCTGCATTGTTTTAATAGAGCTGTAAAAATATTTTGAGATCATAGAATCATAGAATCATTTAGGTTGGAAAAGA